AGATTAAATCTATAATCATATCTTTCCAACAACCAAAAGCCTGGGACCATATGGCTTCATTGTGAATTATAACAAACATTTGAGAAAATTAAGCAGTAATCTTAAAATCGTAAAAAAAAAAACTTGAAGGGCCAAGACACGTCCCAACTCATCTTATGAGGCCAGCAGTGTTTGACAGCAAAGCAAAGACAGTATGGAAAATGAGAGCAACAGACCCATGTCTCATCTTTAGGATTACTAAAGAAAAACTCCTCAATAAAATATTAGCAAATAGAAATTAAAAATGTCATAAAAGGATTATGTATAATAAAAGTATTTATTCTCAAGATGCAAGGAAGTTTCCACATCTGGAAGAAAATCACTATTATACACCATATTAACAAAGTGAAAATTAAATACAGCACATAAGATGTTCTCAGTTAATGCAGAAAAGTCATTTGATAAAAAAGTGTTTAGTTTTCTTAGCAGAACACTCAATTAGAATTAGAAGGAAATGTCCTCGATGCAGTGATTATATATGGAAAACAGCCTCACATCTAAAGTCAGACTCACTGGCAAAAGACTCAAAGCTTTCCCTCCAGTTCAGGCACGTGGCAAGGACACCTGCTCACCATTTCTGTATAACAAGGTGTCGAAAGTTCCAGACAGAACAATTATGCAAGAGAAAGAAACCAGGTGAGAGAAATGGAGAAAGCAGTCATATTACTGCTGTTCATAGACGACTTGATCTTATGTGTGGATAATAGTAAAAATTACACACATGCGTTCATGCAGGGAGGAATCTGTTTCAGCTAATCAGCACTTCAACCAAGTCATGATATAAAAAATCATCACAGAAAGCCAGCTCCGTTTCTATAGGAACAGTGAGCAAAAGAAGCGTTAAAAAGAAATTCCATTCCAATGGCGACAAAAAGATGTGGTCCTATTAACTGTGGGTTTATGCCTAAGCACTTTGTTACTTTGTTTCAAAAATGTCCCTTTCTATTATATAATGTTAATTTCAAACAATATGAAATATAAAAGAAAAGAAATATGTGCATTGTAAAAATACAATGAAATACATTTGGGTAAATTTTCCTACTTTATTGTCCTTTTCCAAATGTTTTAACAATAGAGCAATCAATCAGTAGAATTTGGGAACTTTAAAAATGTAACGGTACTGGGCATGTGGCTCATACCTGTAATTCCAGCTTCTTGGGAGGTGGAGATCAGGAGAATCATGGTTTGAGGCCCACTCAGGCAAAATGTTGTCAAGACCCCATCTCAACCAATAAGCCAAGCCATGCCTGGTGATGCAGTCTGTAATCCCAGCTACATGGGGAGGCACAGGTAGGAGAATCATGGTACAAGGCCAGCCCTGGGAGGGGAGAGAGACAATGAGACACTATCAGCAAAATAAAGAAAAACCTGCTTAGCAAGCACAGGGCTTTACTGAGGTCAAAATCCTGCACTGCCAAATAGCTTAGCTATCTCTCTCATTTTATATATAGAGATATATAAATATATAGAGAGAAATACATACACATGTATGTAAATATGTATACATGTAATGATTTTATTCACATAGCTTCATGCTTAAGTGACATAAAATTCAAATTCTATTAAGCTCTCCAGGCCAGGTTTAATAAACACATGCCTGAATCGGGATCATTGATGAAAACTGTGAGGTCATGTTTAGTTTTGCTCGGGGAGTCAGGAAGAAAACAGTGAACCATTCCAGTTGGAGCTGTTCAACAATACACCTGAGTGGTACTCCTTCAAACTGTCCAGGGCAGTTTGACAAGGACCTAGAGCTGTCATGGCCGAGTCAAGCTTGGGAGACGATACAACTAGATGTAATGTGGCTCTGCAGCAGCAGAAGGCATTTGATTAAAGGTAAGGCACCTGAGTAAGAGATGGGGTCTGGTCATAGTGTCCCTCTGTCACTGACACCATGTCATGCAGAGGGGGGAGGTTTGCAATGGGACGAGCCCATGTGGGATGCTTAGGAACTCTGACAATCTTCTGTTTTACTATAAATCTACCCTCCGATCGTCAGTTGCATTTCCTCTCACTTTATTCAACGGTAAGAGCTTGGGAACTTTTTACCTCCTCCATCAACTTGTTTGTATTTACTTTGTTTTAATCAGTATTCTTGTTCTTATGTAGTTTACACGCTATCTAAATGCTCTGTGGCGGCACCTGACTAAAGTCACCTTTTAGAATTCTGGAAAGACTGCTGTCTAGTAAGAAGTGAGTGTCACCACAGCCACATCTGTTTCACAGTGGCCCTGCAATTCTTGGAGCTGCCAATCTGGGAAGTATCATATTCCAGTGAGGGTGGTACAGATGCTCCTCTGCTCAAGGTGGGATATAAATCGGAAATATCCTAACTCCAGACTGCGTGTAAAACTCCTACATGCCAAACACCAGAGTGTGGCAACTCCACACACCACAGTGTGTCTGTCCTCACCCTGGTGAGCTCAGGCCTGACTGGGGGCCATGGCTTACTGCCCAGTATTGCAATATTAGTATAGGAGCATAGTGCTAGCCTGGAAGATCAAAATTCACACTTTGAAGCCTAGGTTCTACTTAATGTGCATTGCTTCATGACACCCTAAAGTCAGAAAGCTGTAAGTGAAACCACACTGTCAGGAACCAGAAGGAGGAGGGATGGCGCAGTCTGTGTGGCATCTTCCTCAAGTGACCTTTTTGGGCTGTGCCCTCTTTTGGACTGTTTCTGGAGCATGCTACTTGTGTCCATTCATGTTTGTCTAACTCAGGGTGCCTAAAAAGTGTAGCTTAGACAACTACTAGAGGTTTTATGCACGTATTTCAGCTTTGTGAAAACACATTGGTGTGTGGGCACAAATTGTGGACCAGCAGCCACAGTGGGATCTGGGACCTTGCCAGGAAGGCAAACGCCAATGACTGTTGAGGCCCACTGAGGCAGCCCTGGTCTCAAGAGATGGAGATGCCTTTAGCAAGCCTCAGGTGATTCTGATGACATTGCCCTGGCCTCCATGCTGACCCTGAGCTGAGGTCTGCTTGGTTTGGTACCTTGTGTGCCTTCAAGAGTCTAGCTTGCTCCTGGAGTGTGAGAGATGTTATGCTGAAGCCAGTGTATGCCAGGGAGAGGAGCTGGAGGTGGTGCTTCCTGACAATGCCCTTTAATGAGATGCTTCTTAAAAAACGGTGTATGGGAATTAATTTTTTAGGTAAATATAAAGTCAGCTTGGGTCTAGAATTCTGCTTTCATTGTAAGCTCACTTTATGTATTTGTTATTTGACTACAGAAAACTAAATAATGATATTCATTATATACTCCACATCATACAAATTCTATCATATCTTCTCTTTATAAACTGGAGAATTTTCCTTTTACATCAATTCTCATTGTAATTCTCATAACTTGATCTTGCACTAACATCACTCTTTCATGAATAATGCCAAAATACACAATTATTTAAGACCAAAAATATGTATTAGTTTGTAAAGTAGTTTTCTAAACTACAAGTTTCATTTATTTTCCTGTAACAAGATAAAAAGGAAAGAATCAATTGCGTTGGAGTTGAAAAATTATAGTCTGAATATCAGTCATTGATACTTCCTGGCATTAAAACCATATAGGTCCAAGTGGAGATGACAGGCAATATCTACTAATTATAAAACCAGAACAGCCTAGATGAAAATGTTACCATGAGGAAACGGATGTATATGAATATTCACTGTGCCATGGCTGGCTGGAGCTAAGTATTTACTCACTCATTTTCAGTTGTCCTTATATGACACCTTTTCAACCTTTATTAATCTTATTTTCTCAGTTACTGAGCGAAATAACCTCAAATAACAGGCATTTTTACTGGAGATCATTTTTACTTTGAAGGGTCTGCTTAGAGGATCTAAAGCTTGGAGAAATGTGGGGTTAAATGTCACCGACCTGTTGCAATTGGTATTCATAACGTGTTTAACTGAAGCTTACTCTTACAAAGCAAGGTTCACATGCTCGCATGCACATGTGTGCCTGTAGACTGCTACATGCATTTTTCTATCATAATTTTTAAAAATTGTAAGGTGTATTCTCTATGCTTTCGTTTACCACTTTATCAGAGGCCACAGGCTACAGAGACTGCCCTAAGAAAACATTCTGTTACAGCATCTCTTTCTAGACGTCACCAGACACCATTCTCAATGAAATCACAATTTGTGAATGTAATTGTTTACATACTGTGTTAATGACCCAAAGTTATATTAAGATAATTTAAAGCAAAGCCATATGTGTGTGATAGTGTTTGAACACACATTTTCTGCTTTGAAGATGTGTGTTTTCGGTGTTTTGCTTTGGACATGTTCAAGAATGAAGTGAGATTTATAATACAGAAGGTTAATTATGAACAATTTCCACTAATTGCCAATTTAACCTTTGTGTGCCTCCATTTTGTAATTTAGAAAGGTCATGGATTTATGTTGCTTTCACCTGCAAAGAAGTACATTTGTAGAATACTGTGTTTCAGGAAGAGGCTCTGCATCAGAGATATGATGCATTGATGAGGAGGATTCTGTAAAGGCTTTTCTGTACGAATCCATGAGATCACCATGCAAGATTTTATAATAATAATTTACTCAAGCTGCCAGGTCTTCTTGAGAAAATTGCAGGTCTTTGGTTTAAACTTCTAGAGAAAACTCTAGAATTATCCATTCAAAATTACTTCACCCCTTTAATTGATAAAAAACAAAGGCAAATTATTTCACATTCAAATATGCCATGATGCTAAAAATAATTTATTTCCATGTGTTTGTAATAATTATTTCATGGGTACAAAAGGTATGTCTGGAAGTTAAAGAATATAGTGAATATTAAATTATGGCCTTTGATAAATATATTTTAATATATACTTGAATAATGGAGCATAATACTGACTATGTGATTAGCCTTTATCATTTAAGAGATAAATGTCTGTTGGGCTGAAGACAGATATTAATAATATTGACTTGCATATGTTTGCTTTTTTTCTTTTCAGGCTGTACTTTGGAGGTATAAGTTTTCTCAGCTTAAAGGCTCTTCAGATGATGGCAAGAGCAAAATCAAATTTCTGTTTCAGAATCCAGATACTAAACAGATTGAAGCAAAGGTAAGCACAGCAAATTCATCAACAACACACCTCTAATTGCATTAATGCCATTGAGAAGCCAAGGAGAGAAAATTTAGGAGAACCAAAAGAGTGAAAACACATTCTGTGCCTACACCAAAACATCCCTTGTGGCCAATAGAATAAATTCACTTTGAGCTTTTAATGACAAATTTCCACTAAAAGGCATCCATTAAAATAAATTACACACAGCTAATTGCATTTCCTTGTTTTAATTCCTTACGAACTAAATTTGTATAACACTAAAATAACATTCTGAAAACTAAATGGATCACCTGGTTTTTCACGTTCTAAATAAACTACTTTTAAAAAGTGAGCCTATTTTATTATTTATTCCCTCCTTAAATATTGACACAAATTTGAAAAGCATTTTCAACATCAGTCCATTTTCCCCATATAGTTATATGTTAAGGAAGATAAAATAAGTGAGGGATTTTTTTGCTTTGTCCCACACAGATTTCAGCATTAATGGAATACATTAACCATGCTGTCTTTGATTTATCAGAAAGAATACCACTATTTTTATGAGTATGTATATTGGTAAATATTCAAAATCTAAATTATTTTCCTTACCTTACTATGAAGTTTGAGTTAGAATAAATTATTAAAACACTATAGAAAAAATAATAAATAACAAATACCCAAACGAGACCAGACGTAGTAATGCATACTGTAATCTCAGCTTCTTGGGAGGCAGAGGTAGGAAAATCAGGGACCATGTCAACCCAGGCAAAAGCTCAAAACTCTATCTGAAAAATAAACTAAAGCAAAAAGGGTTAAGGCTGTGGTCGAAGGCTTGCCTAGCAAGTGCAAGACCCTGAGTTCAAAGCCCAATACCTCTAAAATAAATCAATAAAACACACACCGAAATGAAAAACTAATTCTGTTGACATGAAGATCTACTATCAGTTTTCAACAAGAATTAAAATTAAATTATTATAATTCTGCTACAGTGTTTTATCTATTAAATTCAGGGTGAAAGAACTCTGCTTGACATTCACAGCCATCCAAGGCATGGCCTTATGTGATATTTTAGTCAGAGTCTCATTTAACACTCTTGTCGGATTAGACATTCTCCTTTTAACAAGGTGACCACATCCTTGCATTACATACTACTAACCTTCCTCCTTAGCTTTTCATTTGAATCCCTCTGAAGCTGTCCATTCTTATTTGATATTTGTCTTTGGACTTGTAGTTGTTTAAAGTGGTAACGGTGGAAGTAGCTCTGTAGCTCCTTCATGCCAGCTTCTTTTCTACTAAGCATCAATATTGCCATCGCTTTGCCTCAGATTTGCCCAACTGGATGACTTCATCCACTCCTTGATTTGAGATGGTTTTTAATTTTCAGTCCTATGTTTCTACATTTCCAATGTTGCCTCTCCCCTAGGTACAGATTTATCTCTGTAGCTGTCTTCTCTCTCCTGTTCCTCCTTTCTCTTACGGACCTGCCACTGATGGATCATTTGTTTTGTACCGGTCCATTACACTGCCGTTTAAATTGGCTTCTAATGTTTCTACAAAAAAATGCATCCCCATTGTAAAATGGTTTCATTGTCTTAGCACTTGGTTGATTTCTCACTATTTCAAAGGAGAGCACATAGCCTCATACTGGTGAATTCATGTTACTGTCATCAGTTCTGCATTCTTCTGCATAATGGGGAACTTCAACCTCCAATGCTGACAGAAGTATAGTATTTAATTTTTAGCTGTTACTCTTCAAACACTTTTTGATGAGCTGATAAGCCCTTAGTGCTTGAAGCAAGAATTATAAAATTAATTCAATGACTAACTGTAGCATTTAGAATTCAACTGAATGTAGTATTTATTATATATGCAGCTAGGCAGCTAGCTACAATTACCTTACTAGTTATCTGTCAGCTACTAAATACTATTTATTTTCATTACACTTGTGTTTTAACATATTATTTAAAATTTCATTCCTTAAGTATGAGGTTTAAAAAAGATATTTGGTTGAATGTAATTCTAAAACTTATAGAAAGCAATTATGGAACAGTACAAAGATATTTTAAAAATAATGAGAGACTACAGCATTTGGTGTTAATGAATTTCTCTAAAGTCAGAGTCTCCCTCTAGAAGGTAAAATAATACCACTATGGTAACACTAAAACTGTCCAATAGAAATGGAAAACACCTAACAACCAAAGCCACTGACAATTCAGAATAGTGGCCAGATATGTAGCTGTACTTGCATGATTGTAACCTCTGCTGACATCACAGAAATTATATGAGAATTAAAATTAGAACATTTGCTAACTTTTCATGTAACCTTTAGAACTGTAATTTGCAAGCAGTCAACTACCATACTATCAGAGACATGATGCAAGGACAACAAAATGTGCAGGTTTTTGTGTGGACATAGTTTTTATTTGTCTGGAGTAAGTGCTCAAAAGTGCAAACTGCCAAGTGGCATTTGTTTAGTTTTAAAGAAAATAGCAAAATTCTGTTACAGAGTGGCTGTAACATTTTATATTCACAACTGCAATGTATGAGAGATCCAGTTTCTCTACTTCTCTCTGCCAGGATTGTATACTGTCAACTATCTTTTGATTCTAGCTCTTCTCATTGCAGTCTTAAGCTGCTTTTCTCCAATGCCTGATGATTAACAATTTTGATGTTTCAATTTTCCAGTCCAACTTTGTCATTCATGAAATGTTCCTTCCTTGTTTTTTTTTTTGCCTACTTTATAATTGTATCGTTTTACTATTTTTGGTGCCTTTTATTTTTCTATGTTAATCATCATAGAGGATTTTTAAGAGCTAGCATTATTTTCTCTTTGGTTTTCTATACTGTACTCTATAATAATCAATTTAATGATTTCTGCTTTTTCCTTCTTTATTTTTTGTCTGCTTTAGCCTTATATTACCATTCTTTTTCTAAGTTCTTGAAGTGGAATTTCAGATTACTAATTTACAGCTTATTTCTGATACAAGGAATAGTTTCTTTTCCTCTTAGCAGTTCAGTTGCTTCCTCTCCAAATTTTTCATATGTTTTATTTCTATTTTCACCAACTCAATGGTTTTCTTTTTCAATTGAATTTTGCTGCTTTCTTTTTTTAATAGTCTATATTTTGGAGATGTTTTTAGGTTCACAGCAAAATTAAATAAAAGGTACAGAGACTTCCCATATACCCTCTGGCCTTATTCAGGCAGAGCCTCGCACTATCAATAATAAATAAAAAGTGGCTCATTTGACACAACCAATGAACCTAGATTGACATGTTATCCCCAAGAGCCCATAGCTTACAATATGACTCACTGAGTACGTACAACACGAGATTTAGCCCTGATGCAACACATGGAGTATCATCCGGAGTTGTTTTACTAGCTCTGCAGAGGCATCTCCCTCCCACTAGTAGCAGGAAATCACCAGTTTGGGTGTTTTAAGTTTTCCATATAGATGGATCATAGGGTACTTAGCTTCTTCAGGTTGACCTTTTTCACTGATCCTTTGCATCTAAGTTGCCTTTGTGACTTTTTCTACTTTGATGGCTCATTTATTTTTTATTATTGAGTGATGCAGTGTTTCATTTTTGGTTTTTTTTGGATATATCATAGTTTATTCATCCCTTCACCTACTAAAGGACATTGTCTTACTTCCAAGAATAGACTATTATGACTAAAGCTGTTCTTAATATCTGTGTTCAGTTTTTGGTATGTACAAAAGTTTTCAACTTTTGGGGGTAAGTAAATATCAAGAAGCTTGATTGCTGAATCATATAGCAGAGTATGTTTAGTTTTCAAGAAACTACCTACCTTCCAAAGTGATACTTTGGCATTTCCACCAGGGTGAATGAAAGCTCTGGTGCTTCTCACCCTTGCTAGCATTTAGTTTTGTCAGTATTCTGGATTTTGATCATTCTAATAAAAGCTTGGCGATATTTTACTTTGTTTGAATTTACATTTCACTGGTGCTATCTTTCCATGAGCTTATTTTTTATCTGTTTAGCAACTTTGGTAAGGCGTTCTGTTGAAGGGTTTGGACTTGTTTTTCCTCCAGTGATGCAAATTGAACCCAGGGCTTTACACATACTAGGTAATGTTCTCCCACTGAGTCACAGCCCCAGCCCTGACTCATTTTTTGTTGCTATTACTGAGTTTTAACATTTTGTTGTATAATTTAATTAGCACTTTTTCATCTGAAACAGACTCGCATGATTTGTGCAAATGTTTTATCCATTTGTGTCTTATTGTATCATCCACTTGACACTGTTTTTCACAGAGCAGAAAATTTTAATTTTAATGGAGTCAAATTTATAAGTTATTTGTTGCATGTATCCAGACTTTAGTGTGTATTTAAAAGCCATTGCCAAACCCATGGTCACCTAGATTTTCTCCCTTGTTATCTTCGAGGAGTTTTACACTATTGAATTTTACATTTTGAGCTATTATCTCTTTTGAATTAATTATGTTTTTTGCTTCTTAGTTGTGGTACTGGGGTTTGAACTCAGGGCCTTGCGCTTGTTAGGCAGGTGCTCTACTACTTGAGCCACACTTCCAGCCCTGAACTAATTCTTGTAAAGAATATGAAGTCTATGTCTATATTCATTTTGTTTTGTTTTAGTTTGTTTTGTCTTGTTTTGCATATAGATGTCCAGTTGTTCCAGTATAATTTGTTGAGAATCTGTTTTCCTAGTTGTCTTGCTTTTGCTGCTTAGTCAAAGAATCAGTTTATTGTATTTTATGAGTTTGTTTCTGGGTGCTCTCTTCTGTTCATTTGATCTTTTTATCTCTTTATTTCTCAATATCACACTGTCTTGATTATTGTTGGTGCAGAGTATATCTTAAAGTTGAGTTGTGTCAGTCCATTTTTTTGCTGTATTGGGGCTTGAACTCAGGGCTTTGTGCTTACCAGGCAGATGCTCTACCACTTGAGCTATACCCCAGCCAATTGTGTTCTTGTATTTCAAAGGTGTCCTGGTTATTCTGGGTCTCTTGCCTCTAGGTATAAACTTTAGAACCAAT